CCAGGGGCTTTGCCCCCTCATGCTCTCCTGGGACCTAGCTTACTGATTAAACATTCTCCAAAGATTCAGATGCAATCCACATCCCCCCAGATTTACCCTTTCAAGTGACTTGGTGCAGGATTTTAGTACATTACCAAGTTGCATACCCAGCACCTTTAATTCCAGGTGTCCTGTTCATTTGCATCAGTGACTTAGGTGATGTCACAGGCTTTAAAATCAAATCTGATAGCTGTTGCTAACTTTGTGCACAGGGACAGAGCCTGGCATCTAGGCAGGGTGTGGGGACATGCCAACAGAGGGAGTGAGGATGAGAGTCTTAATTGGCCCTACGGTTAGAGGACACCATGTCACAGTCAAGGTCAATGTAGGACAGAGGCGTCAAGAGTTACTCTGCTCACCCTGCACACCAGTACCTGGCTCAGCTGTGTCACCTGGGGCCCCGTGGAGGGGGGAACACAAAGCTGTGGGGCCCACACTCACCCGGGGAACCATCTGACACTCTCTGGGGACGATCATGGCATTCCGCTTCCTTTCGATCTGCATCCACGTGGAGTAAATTAAGTGTCCTGAGACCTCACTTAATGAAACAAATTAATTTGGAGAACACTCTCCTCTCCCTGGCTGCACTGGCACCGTGGGATGGGCTCCTCCATGCGCCCCACTCTGATTGTTAGCCGGGCCTGTAGGAACCAGGAGTGCTGGCTTTTCCTTTCGATTTAGTTCAACAGGAGGCAGACACACCATGAGCTCCACCCATCTGACTTCTTGGGAACTTTGTGGAGGTGACTTTTTGGGGAGAGGAGGGAAACCCTGGTCCCCACACTTGTTCAGTTTGGACTCACATGCCTCTTAGCCTGACTTCTTTCCATCTCCCAAATTCTCATGTCTCATGACTCGTTCAATGCCCGCTGCCTCCAGGAAGCCTTCCCTAACTACCTCCCGCTGGCTCCTTTCTCTGAGCCTCCTTGCAGACAGTTGTGCACCATGTTCTGGGGATTCTGGAGCCAGAGAGTCTTGGGAAAACTATGCCCCAGACCCTTGACAGCAGGGCTGGCATTGCTATGGTGTGTGGGAGCACAGAATTTTGCCCCACCGTTCCTAGTTGGAGGGTTAAGCAGTGTTTCTCTGTGGTGTTCCAGACAGGGCCCCCCTTCAGAAATGAAGCACTCACCCCCCAACACAGTACTTAGAGTAACTGCCCTGGGTGCAGAGAGCTGGCTCAGGTTGCAGCCATCCCCATGGGGAATGAAGACCTGCACTTGACTCTGTCCTGGGACACAGCTGAAGAGATCCCAGAGCTTCTATAAAATCCGTACTCCCCACCGTCCCCACCTAGCCTGCACTGCAACCCAGCACAGCACCCTCCTTCGTACCCTCTGCCCCCCCCACTGCCCTTCCTGTCTGCAGTATGGATCCCAGGTGCATGCTTCAGCAGGTGCCCTGCCCACCCTGGAGCTGTGTTCCAGGGAGCACACACTATGACATGCCTTCACTGCCGGGCTTGTTCATCCCATGAAACGGCGGGAACAGGAGGGATTGCTGGCCTGCGCTAAAGGTGCGACCTCATTCAAGGTCAACGCAGGTCAGAGGCATGGCCAGGACTCAAGTAATCCAGCGCGTACACTCCTCTGCCCCACACTCTGAGGGCAGGGGGCCTGGGGACGGAGGCAGACCTTCATGAGCCCCCTTTCTAGCCTGCGGTCTCCCACTTGGGTGGGGGAGCAACACCCCTAGACATACTGAGCTCCGAGAAATGCATGAAACACCCACCCAGAGCTTCCAAAGATGAAATGCATGGTTTTGTCTCAAATCAGCAAACATTTTTGATTAGTTTTCCAAAAGTAAATATGTAGTTACCAGTGGCCCTAAGTTTTGAGTTCATTTTTAAGGACAAACGTTGTGAACTTTCCAGAGCTTAACTTGTGCCTGCAAAAATGAGAAGACAGTGACAAATCAATTTGAAGCCAGAGACCCTCCAAGCATCTCACAGAATGTACGGGCAGAGCTTTCAAGGTTGATGGAGAAGAAATGGTCCATTCCAGAGCAAATGCAGGGCCGGGCGCTCTCTCCAGCGAGCCGCACGCTGGTGGGGCCCCTGGCAGGGGCCACCTGCACACAAGTTTGCTCCACTCTCGCCTCACAGTGCACCCCAAGCACCACAGCCCGCGCTGGTCAGGAGCGCAGGCTGGCACTCAGGCGCCTTCCAGAAGCCAGCTCCTTTACGCCTCTCGGTTAGTAGGCCAGTTTTACAGGAGCAGAAACAGTCTTCAAAAAGTCAGCTGCTCAGATCACAGAGTTACCGAGTAGAGAAGATGGGATTCACATCTATGCCCCACTCCGTGGGATCGGCCTTTGACTGCAGTAACCCAGACAGAAAAGCAGTAAGGACACACCCAGAACAGGATGTGAGGCAGACTCCCTGCAGACAAGGTTGGGCCCCAGGGGTTTGCAGTACCACACTCAACCAGGAAAAAAGGAGGCACAGACCCCTGCAGGACACTCCCCGATGTGCCATTGCAGCCACACCCCGATTTGCTCCCACCAGTCACCTGCTCTTGGTCAAAGATCCACCTGAGGCTTGAGGTTGAAAGGGCTGAGATTTGGGGTCAGTAGATTGAGTTCCTCTCTGCCACTTCAGAGCAGAATAATCTTGGCTAACGCCTGGGGCCTCAGTTACTCCTGTTACATGGGGAAATGCACCTGCTCCCCCCACGACAGAAAGGAGAATTCAGAGGCTCAAAGCAGATGCTGGCTCTGCCCTTTGGTCACCCAGATCTGACTCTGGTCACCTCTCCACTGCCACCTGGTGTTCCTAGGGAATGTGGGCCCCAGGTGGTCCCTCAAGCCCCAAAAGCTTCATCTGCTGTATATAAGCGTGAGCTATCAGAATGCAGTATAAAGGGGTGGAACTTAGCGAAAGCTCGACCGCCTGCCCTCCACCAGGAAGCTCAGGTGGACCTGTGAACTCTGCAGCCAGAATCACCAAGGACTCGGGAGGTCCCTGGTGTTAGCTTCCTACGTTCCTACATAGTTTAAGGACATTGAGGTCCTTAAACCAGCTGGCTGCCTGCTCTTCTGAAAGTCCCCATTGCTCGGGACCGCTGGGATGGCAGGGCGAGAGGTAATGTAGACGTGATGAGAGGTGTCTCCAGGTAGTGCCTGCTAGCACGCCCGCCCTCTAAATGGCCAGGGGTGACCCTCTACCGGACGAGACAACCATTCCTCGAGTCTGTCTTGGGTCCAGCTGAACACTCTCCTTCCATTTCAGCAGACTTCCTCTGGCCAGGCCCCCTGTGAACATGGAGGCAGCTGGCCTCAGTGCTCCCTATAAATCTTTCATGAGTTTGCCGGCGTGAACGTCCTTCCTTGCAGCCTCCTCTCCCCTGGCCCTGTCCGCTAGCCTCTCCTCACAGGACATACTTTCCATCCCTTTAATCATCTTTATTGCCTGGCGTTGGATCCTGTCCACATCCTTTGCGAGGTGTGCTGACCTAGCCCAGGCGTTTGTTAACATGAGCGCGGCTCAGCGGAAGGGCAACTTCCCAGTGCATGCGTGTCACGCTCCTCTTCCTACATTCCCGAGTCACGCTGCTGCCTTCCGGAGGCCTGCCACTGCCCAGGGGACTCCTACGGGCCAGGTGACCTAGCCCAGCAGTGGCGGTGTGACGTGACGACCTGGCCACTGAGCTGCGGCCGCCACTGACAGGGCCGGGGGCCCCGTCAGAGGGTCACCTGTCCTTTGGAAGCCTGGACGCAACCCACCCTCCAGACTCTGGGAACCACGGGGCAGGGAGGGAGAGACACCAGATCTCTGCTGTCCCAGACACCTCCCCTGTGAACTCTAACTGCCCCCCACCCCTGCAAGTGGGGGAGGGAGGCTGTCTCCCCCACTTCTTTCCTCTGCCAGGAAACGAGAAGGCAGGGATTTGCTTCTATGTGGCTGCACCCCCAAAGGCAGCCCACAGCAGACAGCCACACGCGGTCAGCCAGGAACAGCGCCTGGCCCAGCCCTCCTTGCTCAGTTTCCCTTTGCTGCTACCTCATGATGTGTCCAGTGGTTCTGACTTCTAAGCCTCCCCCAGCTGCTTCTACCGTCACTGTCCCCTGGGAATGTTTCACACCCTCTAAATCCACCTGCCAATGTTGGTGCATCTCGGGGCTTAGTCGTCCACCCACCCGCCTCGTCCAGGACCCACGGGTGGAGAAGGGGATGCTGGTCGCCACAGCCCCGGTCTCCCGAGGGTGGCAGGCACTTCCAGCCTTCTGAGGAAGGGGTGAGGCCTGGACTGTTTATTGGCTCTCTGAGAACATTCTCTGTTCGTTAAAGGTAAAACCACAGCCATGACCTTTATCTGAGAAGAAATTCCCTATAGGGAAACACCTCATTTTAATTCCTCAGGCAAGAAGCCTTTTCTTCCTCTCTTCTCGAACACACTCTCCTCTTTGTTCTCCTGCCTTCCTCCCTCTTCCTTTCTTCCTCCTCTGCCTCTTTCTTTCTTACTCTCTGCCTCGCTTTTCAAAAATATGTTCACCCAGAAATAACTTAACGCACATTCAAGCAAAAAAATAGATCCTAATCGCCTCCCCAGCCCTACTTTGGCACAAGTGACCACATACTACAAATATTATTCTGCACCTGCAGTTTTCCATGTGAAATATTCCTTGAAGACCTTTCTGTGCAAGAAAGCCTGAAGGAAACAAGGGCAGGCCCCTCCCCGTGCCTGGGAAGGACTGATAGGCACTGGGAATTACGAGCTCCGGAGCCTCCTGGATGCCGGGTCTCAAGACGCATGCCAGCTGGTCCCTGTCGGGACAACGCTATTGCTGCCCTAAGGCAGTGCAAGGAGTGTTTCTCCCGAACTGCAAGTCCTGGAGCCTCCCTGGGCTCCTGCGGGGACCCATTCTGGGAGTCACCGAAAGACGCTGCCGCCCAACCGTTGGGGGCAGGAGACTGACAGCGGGAGAGAAATCCCCAAGGCTGGGGGCAGAGAATCTCCTACCTTCGGTCGTTTCTCCTCCTCCGGAACAGCTTCTTCGTGTGCGCAATCTCCACTTCGTGGGGCAGCGGGTGGTAGCCCTGCATGGTGTGGGGTGGGAGGGGGGTCGTTAGTCAAGGACAGCAAGGACTTCTGGGACAGAAGGACCATCACGGCCCCTAGGACAGAGAGAAGATGAGACTTTGGAAAGGCTAGACTGACCACCAAAGCCAGTCCGAGAAACGGAAATACCTAGTAAAGTTGATGGATTTCCCTCCAGCCACATTACGGAACCCATGGCAGAAGGGACAAAGGGTCCTTAGATTCACCATATCCAGTCACTCAAGCTACAGAAGAGAAGGCTCCGAGAGGTGCATGAGCCACTCAGGGTCTTAGCTGGGACCAGCCCCTGAATCCAAGAGCGGTGTGAGGACACCATGTTGCCTGGTGCAGGGGGCACATTGCAGCCTGGTCTCAGTGCTGCTGAGAAAAACAAGGAGACATAGGCCCTGCCGACCCTGACCGGTGCACAGGGACCCTGGTCTCCCCACCCGTCGGAATCCTCCAGGGCGGTATCACCCAAGATCCCCATTCCTCACACAGCTGGAGGGAATGGGGGAACAAGCAAATAGCTAAATGCCCTTTTAAACTTTGAACTTGGGAAGACCCTGAGAATGGCTGTTGTGCAGTCAGCACAACTATTCATGCGTCACGTCAGGGTGCAGACTCTGTCTACACGTCTGTGGGCTTGATCCTGCAAATACCAGGCCCATGGCAGGATTATTTGCAGAAGCTGGGCTGGGCCA